TGGCTAGTTGAGAGTAAGAAAGGTGTCAACTTTGCTGGACAAAATTAATATATTATAATCTTCACTCTTCAGTCGGAGTTGCATCATAAATGTCTCACAGCTTAATTAATACACGACTTCCATGTGTATTGCTTTGTACGTGGTTATAAAAAGGGTTAACAGAACAGCAAAATCCCACTACAAAGAGGGAGAGAGAGAGAGAGAGAGAGAGAGAGAGAGAGAGAGAGAGAGAGAGAGAGAGAAAGAGAGAGAGATTATATTGGAAAGGGGGAAGGGGGTGGTTGCTGTTCTTATGTACTAGTTCAGGATGAATCATGACCACTCTGTACAGTCTGCAAATGCTCACGTGCGCCTCTAACAAGTTATTGTGATTAAATGTCGAAGCGAGAAAGTGATGCCAATTAACGAATTAAACACCTGTCGGATTCTTTGTACGCCGAACCTTTTCAAAGAATGGAAGGAAGGTGCCATGGAACGCTTCAGGACCTCCAGTCAGTGGTTCAGTGACTGGGGAGCACGGCTCATCAACAATGTCAAGCAATAGCGATGACACTTTGACAAGTCCTCTGTTTGGGTGGCAACGGAGGTGACCTAAGTTCAAAAAAATTTTTCCGCGCTATTTACCGATCGGCGTAGTCATATAATTGTGCGGCAATCTGAAGATTGCGTTGATAGTTTAAGTCTTGAAAATAATTTTTGTTAAAAATTCACTTTCATCTTTATTCTTTTAATCACGTCAGGGAATTTTCACATATAAAAGTGTAAAAATAAGAAAATTAAAATTAAAATTAACGTCCACAAGAATGAAACAATGCCAGATATTAAACTCAAAGTTCAGAAAGTACATTTAATTAATTTTATGTTTTTGAAATAATGTTTTTTAATTCACTTCCATCTTTATTCGTTTAATCACATCAAGGAACATTCACATATATTTTCAAAAGTGGAAAAATATGAAAATTAGAATAAAAATTACAATTACAATTAAATTTAAGATATGAAACGGAGGAGCTCACTAGAATGATACAATTATACGATCGTTAAAACGCGCAGAGCAATCTTTAGACCGCGCCGATCAGTAAATTGCGCAGAACATTGCGTGAGCTGAGTGTTATCTTGCACTCACTCCAATTTCTGACTTTTGGAATGTTTTGGTTACAACTGTAAGGATGTTTTAAAAACTTACCTTTGACCCCCACATTATTACAGTTAACGTGGGTTCAGTAGAATTTAAGTTTCATTTGGTGCTGAATTCTATTTTTTGAGACTGGTATTCAGTTCTTTTAAAGAGTTTCACGCTTAAAGTGTGATATCTGAAACTAAAATATTATTGTTTCATTATTCTTTTCTACTTGTTTTCTCTCTTCTGTGAAATTTGGTGAGGTAGAAAGACGGGTTGGGGATGACATTTGTGTGTATGTGTTTGTCTGTATGTTTGTGTGTGTGTTTGGGTTTATGTTTGTGAGATTGTGTGTGTTAATGTGTGAGTTTGTGTGTGTGTGTTTGTGTGTGTGTGTGTGTGTGTGTGTGTG